GCTCCAAGGCTGTACTGAAAGACAAGTCCATGGATGTGGAGTAATTCTATCCTCTTAATAGGCAAGTCTAGAAATGTGGACAGGACTCCAGCCTCTTATAGGGACAACTTGTTCTTTTTTACATAATCTAGAAATTATGATTTAAACTAATAATTATTGCCTCAGAGACTTGTGCAAATCTAAGGACTCCAGTCTCTTACAGTGACAACTTGTTCTTATTATTGACATAATCTAGAAATTATCATTTAAACTATAATTATTGCCTTCGAGACTTGTGCAAGTCTAAGGACTCCAGTCTCTTACAGTGACAACTTGTTCTTATTATTGACATAATCTAGAAATTATGATTTAAACTATAATTATTGTCTCAGAGACTTGTGCAAGTCTAAGGACTCCAGTCTCTTACAGTGACAACTTGTTCTTATTATTTACATAATCTAGAAAGTATGATTTAAACTATAATTATTGCCTTAGAGACTTGTGCAAGTCTAAGAACTCCAGTCTCTTACAGTGACAACTTGATCTTACTATTTATATAATCTAGAAAGTATGATTTAAACTATAATTATTGACTTAGAGACCTGTGCAAGCCTAAGGACTCCAGTCTCTTACAGTGACAACTTGTTCTTACTATTGACATAATCTAGAAATTATCATTTAAACTATAATTATTAGACTTGTGCAAATCTAAGGAATCCAGTCTCTTACAGTGACAACTTGATCTTACTATTTACATAATCTAGAAAGTATGATTTAAACTAATAATTATAAGACTTGTGCAAGTCTAGCTCCCCTCCTGCACAGCCTCATCATCATGTGATGTTAAAGGTCTGTGCATGCATGGTACCGGTGGTTCAGCCAGCGGACATTGTTGTGAATGTATCTATCATCGCAGGTACCAGGGACGGGGGGGATGAGACACGCTGTGCTGATGGATACAGCTTGAAGTAACACGAGGCAAACTGTTGCAGGTTACCTGTCCAAATACTTGATGCCAGGAATGAGGTATTAGTGAGATATTAGTGAGATGTTAGTGAGTTGTTAGCGAGTCGCTGTTGAGACTCCCACATCATCAAAGGCCTTCATGTGTTCATAAATCTTTAACCAGACATATGCCAGACGATGTATGATTTGCAATGGATGGATCTACAAGCACCAACAGATTATCACAATAAATGATGAACTGTAGATTTTGTAAGTCTCCGTTCATGCAAAAACAGATGAATACAAAATCAAAATGGATTCAATAGCATTTAGAACAAGTACTTAAAAACAGAATTTGCAAATTACGCAGTGATAGTAACTAACTCTTTTTAGTTCGATTGTCCTTATAATGATAACATACAGCAAAACCAATAAAAACGTCTTCTAGTCCTCACAATACCTTAACTGTTGGGCAGTTTGGCAAGGATTATAGTACTAGTGTCAATTTCTAATGCTGTCACATGTTCATAAAACAGTTTACATTTTTTTTATTAATCGACAAATGATTTTCTTTCAGAGTCCGAATTATTATATGTTGTTGGTTTGTTGTTTAACGCCGCACTCAGCAATATTCCAGCTATATGACGGCGGTCTGTATATAATCGAGTCTGGACCAGACAATCCCGTGATTGATATCATGAGCATCGAACTACGTAATTGGGATCAATGACATGCATCAACCAAGTCAGCGAGCCTGACCATCCGATCCCGTTAGTGGCCTTTTACGACAAGCATAGTCACCTATTACGCCAAGCATCGGTTACTGAAAACCTATTCTACCCCGGAATCTTCACGGGTCCCGAATTATTATAAAATTAGAATATTTTGGAAAATACGAAGAAGGTTTTAATACAAAACACTCCGCAGTAATCGAGCTTTATCACAACAGTCTGCAAACAACTGAGTCTTGACCAGACAAACCAGTGATCCATGCTGCCAGGTAACACGAAATGAGTCTGAGCATCAGTTCCTCTTCATCATCAGCAAGTACAACCAATTATTTACTTTACCCTTGTCCTATTTTCTGTTTCAACCATCCTCGATTGTACCATTCCATAATAAAAAATATCATGGCCCCATTTGCTTCGTTTTGAGCCCGATTCAAATTACATGACACTAAAAATATCAGTCCAATCAAATTATGCTCATGAATCATGAGCGATGCATATTCTGTGTAAGTGATTGCGAGAGCCTTGGTGGTGATTGCGTTCAGGGTATTTATCATAACAGAATGGACATATAATATCCTGGATCACGGAAGATGTTCTGTTTGTTGTTTTGTTGTTTTATGCCACACAAAGCAAAATTCCAAAAAAGTATAAGACACTGGACCAGACAATCTCATGATTGATATCATGAGCATCGATTCACTCAATTGGGATATGATGACATGTATTAACCAAGGCAGTCTGTAAATAATCGACACTGGACCAGACAATCTCATGATCGATATCATGAGCATCGATTCACTCAATTGGGATATGATGACATGTATTAACCAAGGCAGCAGGCCTGAGCACCCGATCCCATTAGTTGACAAGCATAGTCGCCTTTTACGACAAGAGTGGGTTGCTGAAGACGAGTTCTTACCCAGATCTTAACGGGTCATCAACGATGTGCTTTAACCCACATCAACATGTGAGAAGGGCTTAGAGCTTGTACTTAGTTCCTGACAGACAACAGGATGCAGTTGACATAGATTTCAGCAAGAAGATCAGTCGGACACCTCATCATCTGACAATGGCCTCAACTCATTTCAATATCGGAATTCCAAACCAATTAACTCCCCACTGGAAAAACTGTTTACATGTGCCAATGCCTCACTGTAAGCCAAATACATGACACACTCACGGCAACCAGGCAACCCATTCACCAGCAAATAATCACAGATGTCTACAAAAACAGGGGTGTGTGTGGTGGTATGGGCATATACACCCTAGGGCTGGGATGAGTCCAAATCTACTACCCGGGTACCACCTATTACCCTATCCTGATCCACTCGATTATTGAAGATGCACTCATCTTGTTTTGGAAGAGTATTTGTGGCTTAATTGTGTAGGCAGCAAAATTCCACCTGTATGAAAGTCATATGTAAATAATATCAATTGCCCTGCCCCGCCCCGCCCCGCCCCGCCCCGCCCTGCCCTGCCCTGCCCTGCCCCACGCTGCCCTGCCCTGCCCTGCCCTGCCCTGCTGAAAACTAATGCACACTTTATGCAATAATTCTTAAGATGACACACAGAACTTTTCTCCAAAACTCTCATTAGCTTTCAACTAGACTTTGACGAATAAGAAAACATGAACTGAGGCAACTATACGTGATAAAAAAATAGTACTTGATTATCTAAATGGATCAGTGCCTTCAAATAAATTCTCAAAAGTTGGTCTTCATTCTCATTCTGGAAAGTTCACTTCACGAAAATTGTCAATATCCTTTGTTATATTCGGGAAGAAAAGTTGATGGATAATTCAGAGATTGAACAGACTGAAACTTGCCAATCAATCAAAAAGGTGATACTGTGTCTTGTTTCCCCCCCCCCCCCCCCCCCCCCCCCCCGGGAGATTTCTAAAACACAGGTACAGCTTCAGCACAACCTCATTAAAATCCCATCTTTTACTCCGACCTCTCCTGAGGACATCATGTCAGGCAAATCCTCTCATCAGCCATTCAACATGGAAGCGTTTAAATTCTTAGTATGACTGAGAGAAGCTATCAGAGCAGGAATCTGATATTTGTATCTAAAAAAACCCAAGTTAAACGGACAATTCCTAATGTTAATAATAAAAGCCACGGCTAACTAATACTGTAGATATTTAATAAAAATGCAAATGTTGTTTTCTGAGCCCCATAGCACCAAAAAAGGAGTACCATTGAGGGAATGTTTGTGCAGGTTAAGTTTTGTTAAAATCGAGATTTCTGAATGGAGGTGAAAAGAAATAAATCCAAATTGTCCAAAAAAATCCAAATCAATGCCTCCTTCATTTAGATTGGATGGTCAAAGTTGGCTTAGGATTCACATGACGCAATGGGGAGGTTAAATCACATTCGAGTAAAAGATCTGAAATAATCAGATTGAGCAATGAATATATAAATCACATATGACCTGTGTGAATTTCAAAGCTGAGATCTTTTTCAAAACATCTCACTGAGGTGAGGAGAAGTGAAAATGGGTTGGGAGGGGGCCTGCTTGTACTTGTCCAGACTAATGCCAATCAATCATATAGTGCTAACCCACTGAGATACCATGCCACAGTTTAAAATGAATGCCCTACTTAGACACAGCATACTGATTCCGGGCTGACGAGTCCTGGTTTTAGCCCCTTAATGACGAGTGCCAGGCAGGGTAACAACAAGTACCTTCTGCACTCCACATCTCACTGAATACCAATTTTCCCCTGATAATACACTAAAAAACAATATCATCTAATACGGATTCAGTTGGTTGGGGATTCCCACTAATTTTAACAGTCTTCCAGTTATATCACAGCCTGTCAGCCTTGTGTGTATTACACAAGTTCATCCCTTTGTGAAACTCGTGAGCACAGGCATAGTGTGGACAAACTAAGCATCTTAACCAGTGTGCATCTGATACCAGACAAGCAGATACTGGCAGCATCAAAGGGAGACAACTGCACTGTGATATATCACATCCGAGACCATCAGGCTTTCCTGCTTCTTCTCAGAGTGAGTGAGTGAGTGAGTATGGTTTTACGCTGCTTTTAGCAATATTCCAGCAATATCACGGCGGGGACACCAGAAATGGGCTTCACACATTGTACCCATGTCGGGATTCGAACCCGGGTCTTTGGCGTGACGAGCTAACGCTTTACCCACTAGGCTACCCGACCGCCCTTCTTCTTCTCAGAAGAACAGTCCAACAAAATCAAACTCCAAAATTTTGACATCTGAATGTTTAAATCTGGTTCAACAAACATCCATAAGACACAGTGACTATGTGACTCGAAATTTAATATCACATCATTGCGTATTCTGTAGATATGACAAATGGACTCACCCGCAACTTGTTTCCAACATGGACCCTTCCACCTGTAATGATGCCATACCGAAGTCAGCAACTCGAATGTTATTTTTTTCATCTAGTAGTAAATTCTCTGGTTTCAAATCTCTGTGACTGAAACAACAAAAGACAAGAATATATCTCCTGTCTTAACATATATAAAAACACAAAGATGAACACAAAGGGACCTGAGAGAAAGATTGACTTCCCAATACACACTCAGTCACCTCTAGAACCAGCATGGGGCACTGACCAAGCCATACAATACACACTCAGTCACCTCTAGCACCAGGCACTGACCAAGCCACCCAATACACATTCAGTCACCTCTAGGACAAGCATGGTGTATTGACCAAGCCACCCAATACACCTTCAGTCACCTCTAGGACAAGCACAGGTACTGTCCAAGCCACCAAATACACATTCAGTCACCCTAGGACAAGCATGGATCACTGACCAAGCCACCCAATACACACTCAGTCACTACTAGGTCAAGTATAGGGGACTGTCCAAGCCACCCAATACACATTCAGTCACCTCTAGGACAAGCATGGGGCACTGTCCAAGCCACCCAATACACATTCAGTTACCTCTAGGACAAGCATGGGGCACTGACCAAGTCACCAAATACACATTCATTGACCTCTAGAATAAGCATGGGGCACTGACCAAGCCACCCAATACACACTCAGTTACCTCTAGGACAAGCATGGGGCACTGTCCAAGCCACCCAATACACACTCAGTCACCCTAGGACAAGCATGGATCACTGACCAAGCCACCCAATACACACTCAGTCACTACTAGGTCAAGTATAGGGGACTGTCCAAGCCACCCAATACACATTCAGTCACCTCTAGGACAAGCATGGGGCACTGTCCAAGCCACCCAATACACATTCAGTTACCTCTAGGACAAGCATGGGGCACTGTCCAAGCCACCCAATACACACTCAGTCACCTCTAGGACAAGCATAGGGGACTGTCCAAGCCACACAATACACATTCAGTCACCTCTTGGACAAGCATGGGGCACTGCCCAAGCCATCCAATACCCACTCAGTCACCTCTAGGACAAGCATGGATCACTGCCCAAGCCATCCAATACACACTCAGTCACCTCTTGGACAAGCATAGGGGACTGTCCAAGCCACCCAATACACACTCAGTCACCTCTTGGACAAGCATGGGGCACTGCCCAAGCCATCCAATACACACTCAGTCATCTCTAGGACAAGCATGGATCACTGACCATGTCACCCAATACACACTCAGTCTAGGACAAACAAGAGGCCTTGAGTACCATGAAACACAATCAACCCTGTCATCTAGCCTGCCCACACATTCAGTCCTTTCTCACTATAAGGAAGAGTGCTTGGGACTTATTCTAACCTAAGTTCCCATGGGGTCCAAAGCAAAAGCGTATTATCCGCTTCGGTCATTATCAGCATGATTATACTACATCGGAAGCAACAAACGCAAGTCTTACGCCATCACAAAGGCCCCCTAAAATGTCTGCTATCTGATCCAAATACCATCTTTTATGATTTCAAGGACATCACATCTTTCCCTTACAGCCAAAGATTTATCAAATATCTTCCTGAAATATCCTGCAGCACAGCACCAGCCACAACAGTAATACTCATCATCATCAATATAGCAGGCAGCCCAATAACAAAGGGGCTAGGCACGTTTTGTCTCCTAGGTCTAATTGAAAGCTAATGTGATATTTGATGAAGGAAGCGGACCAACGTTAATGGCATTTTCTGACAAGGAAGGAGTTATAGTCTTAATAAACCACTGGTTAAAACAGACAACGTGACTCGACCTGTTATTAGTCCCCATCTTACCTTTCCAGTAATTGGCTTTGTGGTGATGTCATGGCTATTTTTAGGGTCAACTGTCGGAAAGGTTTTCACTAAATATTAAACAGTCTTATTAAACCTGACTTAAAATACAGCGTTAGAAACTAACAGTTTTTGTCCATTAGTCCTTATAATGATAATATGTAGCAAAACTCTTAATAAGGGCTAATTTCTTTTGTTTTGATGCAAGACGAGTATAAACTTGCTAACAATAATGACTGCTTCAAATAAACAAAACGGGATTAATCACATGATTACCTAGATTACCTCAATCTCATTAAATTCGGACACAAGTTCTTGCTTCTGCTGAGGACATTCTATTACAGGTCACATGAGAACGACCTTTCGCGAACTTTGTTGGTTGGTTGGTTTGTTGTTTAACGCCGCACTCAGCAATATTCCAGCTATATGATGGCGGTCTGTAAATGATCGAGTCTGGACCAGACAATCCAGTGATTAATATCATGAGCATCGATCCACGCAATTGGGATCGATGACATGCTTCAACCAAGTCAGCGAGCCTGACCACCCGATACCGTTAGTCGCCTTTTACGACAAGCATAGTCACCTTTTACGGCAAGCATGGGTTGCTGAAGACCTATTCTACCCCGGAATCTTCATGGGTCTTCGGGAAATTTTGACCGACCAATGAAATTACTAACAGGAAGTCGACATTAGCCACTAAGAAAGCAGCTTTCTTAAGCATTGCGGCACTCGTTTCAAATTGGTGACTTCCATTCCAGACTATGCTTTAAAAAGTATTTTGAATCAGTCATTACTACTGTTTTGTGTTAAGCTTCAGAGGCTGCATGATTAGAAAACAGTCCGCTAACAATGTAACACAGCAATAGGAATATTTCCTTTTTCCTTTTTTTATTACAACAGGTTTGAATCATTATCTATTTGTAGTTTTCCAATTTTTTATCACGAATGTTGATACTTCCTCATTTTGTTTATCTGACATACTCATTAATCTGACATAATCATATGCAACCAACATTGTCGAATTAACAGGACTTGACCTTCACACATCTAGTAAACATAGAATTACTGAATTTCAGTCAGGTGATGTAAAAAAGTCTGGTTGTCAACCTTTGTATGTGTAGATGATTTTCACAACAATTTTTTCAAAGATTACCTAAACATGAACATTTGATATTTCCAGTTGGTGGAAAACAGGTCCTTATCTCCTAAATTTAACATTCTACATTCGCTGGAGTAGCTTAAGTGTATGTCTACATGCAGCCTTGATGAACCAGCTCCAGTGCAATCGTGTAATCAGACCTGCTTCACGATAACATTCTGGCAAAACATATTCAAACCTAACAGATAAACTCATTATTTTGGACGGAAGCGTCTATTAGATACGGCAAATTTCAATGGACAAGGATTAAATCTATCAGTTTCGAGAGCCTTTGAGTAGAATGTAGAGTTTCAACCAAATAACACCTGAACCAAATCTGAATACTATTAGCAAAGCACTTCCTTACATACTTCTGACAGAGACAGTACAAAGGTGAGGTGAGGTGAGGTGAGGTGAGGTGAGGTGAGGTGAGGTGAGGTGAGGTGAGTGAGTGAGTTGGGTTTAACGCCTCTTTTAACAGTATTCCAGTTATATCACGGCGTGTCAGCTTAATGTGGGAGGAAAGCCCGAAGTGATGCAGGTCTCAGACGTTTACCACTTCCGTGAAACCCACGTGCACGGGTATGGTGCTGACAAACCTAGAAACATAATCGGGGCGAACCGGGATTCGAACCCACAATCATAGGTTTCTGGCGTGCCCAAGGGACGCAACTCTGCACAGCAAATCACGGCGCCTTAGACGACTGGGCCACCCGTGCCCCCGAGGTGAGGTGAGGTGAGGTGAGGTGAGGTGAGGTGAGGTGAGAATTGTTTAACAGTCAAGATTATTGTCATTATGTAGCAGTGTCTTTTGTGCATGCATGTGTTCTTGTGTGCGTGTTTGTGTTGTGTATTTGTGTGCGCGTGCGTGCGTGTGTGTTTTAACGTGCAATCACAGGGAGACACCACACCCCAGCCTCCCCACTCTGAGCCCACGAGTCCTTGTTTTATCTCCTTAATACTGCGTACCATCTTTTAACATCTCTTGGTTTGACGAGGCTGGGATAAACACTGGAACCACTGGAACCACTAGACCACGGAGACTGTCTCCGGGCAGATGCTCTATCCACTAGACCACGGAGACTGTCTCCGGGCAGATGCTCTATCAACTAGACCATGGAGGCAGTCTCCGGGGAGATGCTCTATCCACTAGACCATAGAGGCAGTCTACGGGCAGATGCTCTATCCACTAGACAACGGAGGCGGTCTTCGACAGATGCTCTATCCACTAGACCACGGAGGCGGTCTCCGGGGAGACGCTCTATCCACTAGACCACGGAGGCAGTCTACGGGCAGATGCTCTATCCACTAGACCACGGAGGCAGTCTACGGGCAGATGCTCTATCCACTAGACCACGGAGGCAGTCTACGGGCAGATGCTCTATCCACTAGACCACAGAGGCGGTCTCCGTGCAGATGCTCTATCCACTAGACCATGGAGGTGGTCTCCGGGCAGGTGCTCTATCCACTAGGCCACGGAGGCGGTCTCCGGGCAGATGCTCTATCCACTAGACCATGGAGGCAGTCTCCGGGCAGATGCTCTATCCACTAGACCACGGAGGCGGTCTCCGGGCAGATGCTCTACCCACTAGACCACAGAGGTGGTCTCCGTGCAGATGCTCTATCCATTAGACCACGGAGGTGGTCTCCGGGCAGATGCTCTACCCACTAGACCATGGAGGGGGTCTCCGTGCAGATGCTCTAGCCACTAGACCATGGAGGCAGTCTAGGGTCAGATGCTCTATCCACTAGACCATGGAGACAGTCTCCATGCAGATGCTCTAACCACTAGACCATGGAGGCGGTCTCCGTGCAGATGCTCTATCCACTAGACCATGGAGGCGGTCTCCGGGCAGATGCTCTATCCACTAGACCACGGAGGCAGTCTACGGGCAGATGCTCTATCCACTATACCACGGAGGCAGTCTACGGGCAGATGCTCTATCCACTAGACCATGGAGACAGTCTCCATGCAGATGCTCTATTCACTAGGCCATGGAGGCGGTCTACAGGCAGACACTCTATCCAGTAGACCATGGAGGCGGTCTACTGGCTGATGCTCTTATAATCCACTGGACCACGGAAGCAGTCCAGTAGAATGGCCACCAGCACACTCTGTATCAGTAC